TTAGCTGGAATTAATCTTTGCATTAGCTGTGAAACAACGTAGAGACTTGTGTCTGGGACCAAATTCCCTTCAATCCCTGTCCATTTGCCCTGTTCAGACAAAATCTAAAAGAAAGGGCACTTCCAGGAGTACTTACCTATGTACCAGGGTGCAGTCCACAGATTGCCGATTGTAGGGCTATTTTTGTGACAAATGCTGGATCCTGAGATCATATAGCTGCAGAATACCTTGTAAAATGCCACCTGATAACCTACTGTCATTTCTTCTACATCACCATCTTACGTGCACTGTGAAAGCAGCTAGTGAGGATAATGAAGATCCTTGTCAAACCTGCATGTCCGAACAAATGGAGGAACAGAATTGCACTGTATCAGAGCTATTTAGTTACCAGATGTTACACTCATAGCTTTGTGACACTAACTGTAGACATTTTCACTCCCCCCAAAAATGATTGACTTGCGAGTATTTGAACAACATAGTTACTGGCTTTCTATTTGAGCCTATGCTTGGCAATTGGTCGGGGTACAGTGTGTCAGGTTTTGTAGTTGACATGTTTTTAGTGATGAAATGAAGCCCACATTGACCTGACAAACAGATGAAGGAGCTGCTAAACCGTGTTTAGATTGTAAAAGCACGGCTGCAAAGCCAGCATCTCTCTCTCGTTTGTGTTTTTTGCTTAAGCAGTTTTACTTAGGCTTGAATCCTGCAACCAAAATTCACACTGAAGACATTTGGCCCCTTTTTCGGTGGGGTGGGTGTCATTTGAATGATATGGCTTCCATCTACAGGTGGTAGACTCTAAATTTGTCATGTTGTCCGTGAATCAAATCAAACCAACACAAAGGCCCAATTTCAATCTGGCACTTCCACTGTGTGGAAGAGTCTGTTAATTATGAAGGAGGGCAGAAATAAAGCGGAAAAAGTCTGGGATGCCCTCACCTTTCTCAGGTGAAAACAGGTACTTCCAAACAGCTCCTTTGGAGATGTGCGCCGCTATGAGATGAATGTATTAATATGTCCATGACATATTGGAAAATACGCCGTGTTGTGTTTCAGTTTGATTCAGGTATTTTTAACATGCTCCAGGTCGTTATGGTGATTTTACATACTGCTCTCTGTTATTAGAATTTGTTGCAACAAAAATAAGAACAAATAAATTCAGATGCACTTTTAAAAACATGTACAAATGTAGAAAACTTCCACAAAAGTGTTTTTCATACTGAGATAGTCTTCAAACAGTCCTTCTTATCTGTAAGTGTGTTTCCTCCATGTAGCGAGTAAGTCAGCACAGGTGCACACTTGGTGTTTTGCGGACTCTAGAGCCCACCACCACATAATGCTTGTTGGAACAGCACTTAATGTGGCCTCCACAAAGTGCAAACAAAGTGAAAGGGTGTAGGTGGCTGGACTGGAATTGGTTTAGTATTATATTTCATCCTACTATGACTGAGGATGGAATACTACTATAATAATACTAGTCACTAGACTTGGATATTTAAGATCACCTCTGTTAAGCTTTAATATCAGAAGGTGAAAACAGCACTGGAATCCACTACTGCCAGCAGCAGAATCTTTAAAAGACTTTCATAATAAATTATTTTACAAATTCAAAAAATCAAAATGGCGATATCCAGATATCTATAGGCTACTAATGTGGTGAACTTCTGTAATTACCAGTTCTTGTCCCAACTCTCCAGCTCAGCTGCTGGTCTACATGTGCAAGTATGTGCGTGGTAATCCAGGAGACGCACATCAAGCAGTATTAACCAAAGGCACAGAGAGCTCTTTAGGGTGCCTTATTCTTTGGTCATCTTTACAGAACACAAGTATTTTTGTTGAAACATTTCCTCCTCTAGACATAAAAACAAAAACAAACTAAAAATTAAAAAAAAACACAAAAAGAAGAAAAGCCATATGTGTTTTAGATGTTTTTAAAACTAGGATATTTGGCCTGATGCATCACGGTCTGTGCTACAGTTCTGAGTTAGTCAGTGTTGACGGCCCCCGAAGCTTTTTCCATGTATTTTGTACAACTACGAGATTTTTAACGACAGAAGCTGAACCAGGTGCAGTTGGATAAAACGCACGTTCCTTGTTTGTTCACCTCCATGTTCGATGTATTCACACTGATGTTGTCATTATGCTGACGATGAAGGTCTTAATCAACGCCTTAATCTTGTTACGTCTCACTGTGTAGCTCTGCTATTGTTGCAATACACTGTAAACTACCTAATGTATCTGCTGTTCTTGTAAATACTCGGCCAATATTATTTTCGCTTTGCTTTTTACATATTTTGCTTTCATACCTTTTTATTGTGGATGTTATGTGTTGCTGTTAATTTCCAATGTTATGTTTGTTCGGGGTTTTTTAGGGTGACTTGAAAAGCGGCTCCACCTCTGAATGTTTCATAGCTGCTATCGTTGACTATGAGAAGATATTTTTGCTAGTATACGATGAAGATTTCTATTCACACAGACAATACTTCAGATTTAAATGTCAGACAGTCTTTTCCATGAGCAGTAAAAAGCAGAATATGATGAGCTCAGTTACATTCGATTACAGCTGGTGACATAACGCTTTCATCACTTACAAAGATTTCGATTTCCCTCTCATCAATAAAACTGTTGGCCGTGACTGCAAGAACGTGCCAGTTCTATCTTTTCTATCATTTACAACCATGACAATAATTAGAAAGTGATTGATAGATAGTATAGAGTGCGGAAAAATATTTTTTGAAAAATATGAGGGTCATTGGCCATGAGAACTGTAATGTTTTCAAAGATGTTACTGCCTCAAGCATAGTAGTTACAAAAGCTTTCCGTAAGAGCCGCCATGTTTGTTGAAAAGGTTTAATGTATTTTGCTCTCTCTGGTCTTATTTTGATGTTTTCTGTCAAACACAAAGTTGTATTGTGAGAGACAATTAAAAAGTTCTTTCAATATAAAGTTGTTACGTTTTTGGCACAAAGATGTTTTACAGGAATCCTTTCAAGCTGAAATGTTTGCCTTCTTCCCAAAAGTTGGAGGACAAAATCTAAACGATACATCTTTACAAAATAAAAGGAGTCACTTACCAGCATCCTGAAATCTAACTGAATAAGTTATGTGTATTTTGTTTAAAGGTATTTACTAATGTTTTTTAAAAATTGTTGGAAAAGATTCCAAAATTAACTAAAACTGTCCACCATCTCCGATCTGTGAGACATTAATTGACATAAACTACAGCTGGGATGTATTTTTATAATATAATATAATGTTGTACAAAACATGTTGTGATCAGGATGCAGTGCATCAAGTCCTTTAGTTGACGTGTTGATTAAATAAAGCCCACATTGGGCTGACAAAGGTGTGAAGGAGCTGCAGAGTCAGCATCTCTCTCTCGTTCGTGGTTTTTGATTAAGCAGTTTTACTTCGGCTTGAATTCTGCAACCAAAATTCACGCTGAAGACATTTGGCCTCTTTTTTCCAGTGGGGGGGATTTCTATGTTTTGACTTCCATCTAGTGGTGTTCTAGAGGTGATACACACTTTTATGCTACAGTTCTGAGTCGGTGATGATGCTCCCAAGACTTTTTCCTATGTTTTGTACAACTACGAGATTTTTAAAGCCAATATTATTTTTGCTTTAGCTTTCTACATATTTTGCTTTCATACATTTTTATTGTGGATGTTATTGTGGATGTTATGTGCTCCTGCTGTTTTTCAAGGTGACTTGAAAAGCAGTTCCACCTCTGAATGTTTCATAGCTGCTATCACTGACTATGAGAAGATATTTTTGCTAGTATACGATAAAGATTTCTATTCACACAGACAATTTAAATATTTCAGATTTAAATGTCAGACAGTCTTTTCCATGAGCAGTAAGAAGCAGAATATGATGAGCTCAGTTACATTCGACTACAGCCAGTGACAGAACACTTTGCTTTGAATCTACTGAGCCAGAAGCAGATTGTATAACAGCTTGTTATATTTTAAGAAAATCCTTCATCAATTGCAAATTTTCCTCTCATCAATAAAACTGATGTCCATCAGTCCATCAGTGCAATAATGTGCCAGTTCTGTATTTTATATATATTACAGTCCATCTGGAAAGTAATAATAGCATCTTAATCTGTTCCACATGAAACAGCCATATTCCAACATGGATAATATTAATTTTCATACATAATTTAACACACAACACCCCTTAATGACAAATGAAAAAAATGCTTAAAAGTCTTTGACACCCACAAGTATTTCTGAGTGTGACCTTACAGGCTTGGCACACCTTTTTGGGGGAAGTTTCTGTCATTCTTTTTTCTTCTTTGCAGCACCTCTGCAGCTCCATCATGTTGGTTGGGAGCGTTGGCGCACAGATATTTTCAGATCTCTCCAGAGATGTTTGGGTTCCGGTCTGGACTCTGGTTGGGCAACTAAAAGACCTGATGCTCCAGACATGATGCTTAGCATTCAGGCCAAAGAGTGCAATCTGTGTTTCATCAGACCGGAGAATTTTGTTTCTCATCTGATAAAAAGGAAGGGCTCCCATCTGATAGCACTTCAGGTACCTTTTGGCAAACTCCAGCTGAACTATCATGTGGCTTTTACTAAGCAATCACTTCCATCTGGTCACTGTATCATACAGGCCTGGGTAGAGTGCAGCAAAAATACTTGTCCTTCCGGAAAGTTTTCCTCTCTCCATAGAGCAACGCTGGATTTCTGTCAGTGGCCATTGGGTTGTTGGTGAACTCCCTGACTATTGCTGAGACTGGCCAGGCAGCCAACTCTTGGAAGAGTTCTGGTGGTTCCAAATGTCTTCCATTCATGGTTGATGGAGGCCACTGAGCTCACTGTGACCTTTAATGCTGCAGATATGTTTCTTTTTTCCCCCAATCTCTTCATGGATACCAGTTTCTGAGGTAAAGGCCATGAATACTTATATAAATCTTATATTTTCATTTTTTAGTTTCCATAGATTCACAAGAATTTCAACTCTTTTCACTCATTATGGGGTAGTATGTGTGGAATTTTAAGTAAAAATTAATTCAATTTATTCTGGAATAAGGCTGTAACAGGAAAAACATGTGGAACCTGTTCTGCAAATACTTTCCAGACACACTGCATAATCATGGCAATAATTAAAAAGTGATAATTTATAGTGTGGAAAATATTTTTGAAAAATACAAGCATTATCGAATGATGCCACTGCTAAAGCACTGTCATTCTCATAACTCTCAAAAACACAAAGCATATTGTCAAACTATATTAAAAAAACCAAACAAACACACAAAAACAGCAATAGTGCAAATGATTACACGTATAAGCTGCTGAACCTTCCTCTCATTGCACTGCTAGATGATCACAACAGTGCTTCTTGGCACATGGAAGCAGACCTACACAACATGAAGAGGCACAAATGTATATCTACAGTAAAGCCTGAGCAGGAATTGAATTGGGCTGTACTAATGTAAAACCATAACAGACTGTGTTTGGTACAAAATGACTTATGTCAGCATCACAGTGCTCAAACACTCCAGTGTGGAAACAAAAGTACTGTTACATTTGGAAGATGAGGTATTTACAGACAGTTTATAGAATTTAAGGTAATACACATCTTCAGTCCAAAGGCAAAGTGAATAAATGTAAACACCAACCATTACACTAACATTTAAATCATTTGTGAACACCATTAAGCATCAACCTCCCAACTTTTTTTTAAAGCGAGTGACATAAATGTCAAAGTCCTCCCCTCTCCTCCAATTTCTGGAAAAGGGCCAGGCTGCGGAGACGAGACTGTCTTTCTCCGTTCTTCCACAGAATGAGCAGGTGGTCCGCCGAGCATGTAACCAAACCTTTCTCCGTGAAACTTACGAACATCTGAAATAAGTCCAAAAGACATTACTGCAGCCCTGGCATTACATAATTATAAGAAAGAACTTTAGTTTAAGCCTTATGTACCTGGACTGCTCCTGAGTGTCCAATCAGATCTCCAGTCAACTCTAGCATCCTAATGTTGGGAATGTCTATAACCTTCTTTGAAGGAGGCCCAGATTGTTTGTTTGAACGGCCAAAACTCCACATCCCAAAGAACCCTGTCGCGTGGACAGAAAATTACTGTTACAGGATACCCAAGGAAACTGTACTTGTTGCTGATGATATTGCTGTTAAAAATTTATTTTCTGTGTTTACGGGTAGAGATGACAGATGACAGGATAGGCTAAAAACAGCATTACCATGACTGTCAGAATAGTAACTAATAGGTCTGCTCTAAACGTCATAATAATGATGTGACAGGAACACTGACTTGTGCTAACCTGCTACACACCACTTTTATTTCATATACACAATACCACGTCTGGCCAACATTACAGCACTCCCACCTCCACACACACATTCCTCAGTCTTTAAAGTTTCCAGTCATAATTATTCATAAGTAAGTAATAGATCATGGGGAATCTAGTTTTAGCAGTGTGTGTGTGTGTGTGTGTGTGTGTGTGTGTGTGTGTGTGTGTGTGTGTGTGTGTGTGTGTGTGTGTCTCACCTGAAGAAGCTGGTTCAGCCGGCAAAGGCAAGTCTTGGATCTCCCACATCCTCACACTGCCATCTTCAGAGCAGGACATCAGCTCACTAAAACAGAGGCAGTGTCACACACATACACACACAGATTGTCTGCATAGCAACAGCTATTTGAATAATAGTCGCAGGCTGATTTACTGCTAGATAATTATATTGAAAACAAAACTATTAATTATTAAATTTGATTAAAAATGCACTGGTTCATGGCTGTCCAAAAAAATCTTTTATCAGTGAAAGATATGACTCCCTACATATTTATCATGTGGCCGTCTTGTCTTGTAGGCATAAATCTACTAATGTTTAGATAATAAACAGAAGCTTGATTCACAGTAGAGAAGGCACAGAAGCCAACAAAGCCTTAAGATTCAGTCTATGAGGGTTCAACATTACATAAACCAGGAATAATGAGGCTTCCCTTAGTGTTATGGATGAAAACAGCAGGAAGGCAGTATTGGCGCTACAGCTGAACTACATGAGGGTTGACTCAGTGAAAGAGAGAAAATATTTCAGCCTGGAGTTGATTTGAGCACCTGTAACTCCATTAAAGTGTCCTTTATCAAAACACCTGTTCAACAACTTCAGAGGAAAAGCAATTATTTCAGCTCCACCACAAGTTTGTTTCACACAGCAAGACAATATGTTAAGAACAAGATAAAACATCAGCTGACTGTATGACTGCTTGTTTAGTTTTCCATAATCTTTATATTTGGAAGATATCTTTTTAAACTGTCTACAAGCCCAGTCTTTCATACCTGCAGCTTTCAGAGATTTACTCCACCGCATTTATTTCAAAGTTGTAGTTACTACTTATTTTGCACATTTAGATCCTTTATACAATAAGACTTATTGAATTGGTTGGTGCCCTGTATAAAACCATGGACAAAAAACAAGAAGTAAAATCAGCAAACTTTGGTAAGATAAAAGTAACTTTTGACTGGTACTGTACATGCTCTTAAGAATTAAGTAAAATATGTCCTGACCTATGAACCTGACTGAGACTGTTTTTAATTTTGCAGCTAACTCAGACTTTAATAACATTACAGTGCTGACCTGCTTCTCTGAATTAATTTGGCTAACAGTCACTGCTCATGAACATGTTACTCTAACATGAACATGTTACTATAGAGTCAGTCTCACTCCCTCTTGAAAGTTGAGTAAATTGTACTAAGCTTTCACTGATCCTTTGTGTCTAACGTTTCCCCACAAGTAATCTAATCACGTTGCCGTCATAGCAATCACCAGACTCTCATCCTTCAGTTGGACAAACTCCAACTCAACCATCTTGATCTGCAGTTGTTCGGTTATGAAGATGAGCTGTGAGTTGGAGGGTCACCCCAACCACAACCAACAGCAGGTATAACTTAGACACTATGATTCTTACAACTGTAGTGTCTATGGTCAGCATGTAGGAAGTACCACATAAAGATTTTTCATTTTTTACATTTGACCTCATTTCATATCTGCCTTTCTTTCAAGTTGAAAGAAACTCCATCATGCTACCCTTATCTGATTTTTACTACACTACAAACTGCTCAAGTACTTTTCAAAAGAACAAAGAAAAACCAAATGAATACATACAAAATACAAAAGTATTCCTTTAAAAGTTAATACTAACCAGAGAGTGAGCTCTGAGGGTTTCTTTTTTATGAATGTATTCAAGTAAGCATAGATCACCGTGGAGTGCATGTGCAAACTGCCCAAGCTACAGCTATTGATTTTTAGGTGGGTTGTTTAGTTTTCCTTTCAGAAAGTATTTTGCCCATGTGTGTTCTAGAGGGTAAAAAAAAGAAGTCTTAGAAAAGGTGTAAGATCTTACCAGTCAGACAGCAGCATGGTGTGTAACACATTAGAGTCGTGGGCAACCTTTCTGTAGGCCACCACGCTTCTGGTCTGAACACTGTAGACGTAGAGACCGCTGCCCACAGCAGCAAGGATGAGCTACAAAACACACAAACAGAAAGTTCTCATTTTAAATGACAATAAAACAACAGAGTATTCCCAGTATACAAGCCCATCCTGCCCTTTCCTGTCCTCACATTTCCATTGGTGGTCAGGTGCTGAATGGACATCTCGCTGGGTTTAGGAGCCCCCATTCGTATTTCAGTCTGATTGTAGTCTTGAGACTCCTCCCAGAGAATGTGTTCATAGGCCAGGAGGTTCCACTCAGTCGCATTCCATAAGATCAACTCACCCATATGGGACCCGCTGGCGAAGAGCCCGTCTGAAGAACACAAGAGGAAAAGGCATGAGTCCAGGGCTACAAACACAGTGAGAATAAAGTGTTGACATAGCTTCTAAATGTATCAAACCTGGTGACCAGGTGATGGCGGCTGTGGCTGCAAACAGTCCTAGAGACTCTACAGGAAAAGAGCTTACCGATTTAAATACTCTGTAAAAATGAGTTCACGGTCTCAGCTCCTCATTTTGGGCCATCTCGGATAAAAAGTGAAGTCTATTTTGTAAATCTTGGACTATGTTTCACCAAGGAGGATTATCTGTGGCCACTAATTAGCTAACGGCTGGTGATTGGAAAGTCAACAGCCAGTGAGAAAACAGTTTAACAGTGAGACACGCACATCTTTGTCAGACCCGTTTTAGTTTTTTTAGTTTTTAAATCAAGATAACAAAGGGTGAAAACGCTAATCTCAAGCCTTTGAAACAGATCTTCAGTAGCTACATCCACCTTTTACACGGTCTGTGGGTTCAAAATGCAGTCTCTTTGCAGCTTAAAAATCAAACAGACACACCGAGTTTCAGACTGACCATTGACGTTGATAAGAGCTCGGATCTGATCCTGGTGGTCGGAGAGGCAGCGGATCTCAGCCACTGACAGAGAGGAATCAGCAGAAACTGTCAAGCTGTAGATCACTGCAAAGACAAAGGAATATTTTGTTTCAAATAACGCACTTTTAATCTACTGATCTGTTCATCCGCACCATATTTTGTGCTCTTACTTATTTTTTTATCCATGGCAGCTGCTATGTAGTTCTTCGGCAGTTCAATCAAAGCAGTGATTCCTTCGACACGTCAAAACACAAAAACATTGATCAGCGTCAGCGGCCAGCACGGTTGGTGTAACAGTAAAAATGTGGTTGTGCGACGGACATTTTTTTCTCACCAGTATCACTGTGGTTGGGTCGTTGACACTGCAGCTGAAAGTCTCTATTCCACACGCATAGTTCTTCCCCACCAGAGAGCCACACACACAGTCGCTCGAGCACCAGCAAACACTGAGACAGACACACAGCTGGATCAGGATGTGAAATATCATTTTAGATTTTTTTTTTAAATTGTTTTAGATTTTTAATTTCTATATACACCTAAATAATTTGGTGGAAAATTCATCCTTAAGAAAGCCACTAAGGAAAAAAATGCCAACATCAAGAGATGATGAGCAGATCCTGACGTTTCTAATGAAGAAAAGGAAGAAACTGAGATTCTGGATTCATCCAATTCTCACAAGAAGGCAGCGACAGAGACAATTGGATGGTTTGATCCAGCAACTGAAGCTGTATCATGAGTACATTTGTACAACACTGTTGAAGATGTCAGTGGGGCAGTTTGGTATTATTTTACTATTATATCCAGGATTGGAGCGCATTTTAAAACTGTGTATACACAGTTTTCCATTTTCACTTCCAAAAATAAATAGCTGATAATACAGATGCAAGATGTGTGTGTGTGTGTGTGTTTTTAGGGATTTCAAAGGTGTTTTTTGCTACCTTTACAGAAGAATGAAGATCTGAAATGGTCTGGACCCTGTTGCCTGTATCAGGGTCCCACAGCTGACATGCAGGATTAAGGAGAATCAAGCCTGAATCACAAAGTCATGAATTACTCATGAAACACTTGCTGTACATTTGTGTGCATTGTTTCAGGATACACTGAGGCTTCGGTCTGAAGAGGCAGTGATAAGCGAGGTGTTCAGTGTGACTTCATTTTTGCAGGTGATGGTGGTTATGGCTGTTATCTGCTGAGAATGGCCTCTCAGCTCCTGCAGCCTCTCCCCAGTCTAGCAATCGGACAAGCAAAAATAAAAGCAATTAGCAATTAGTCCCACTGTGCTGTGTGCAATTTCGCAAGACGCAGAAAGAAAGAAAAAAAACTGGCAGCATATTACCTCAACATTCCACACCAAAACAAGGCCATCATCCCCTGCTGAGGCACATCTGGGTAACATGAGAAGAAAGGTAAGAGTTATTTCTTGAATTTAGACTCCTGTGTCACACTGGCCCCTCAGCTGAGAATTGTAGGACTGGCAGGACTCTGCTTTAGCAGGTCGACTAGTCAATTGCAGATACAACCTATTCATACAAGGAATCATTTCCTGCAGCTTCATCTCCACCGAGAAATGTTAAAAAAAAAATACATCTGTCCTGGGGCTTATCGCGTTACTTGCTTTCTGACCCTGAACCATCCAAACTGCCTGTTCCCAAAACCAACAGACAGGATGAGCGGATAAAACAGAGACAAAATGAGAAGAGAGGAAGTGTTGAGGATACATTTTCAGACTTCAAAAGCAATCTGGAGAGAATTTTCTGGCCTTTGCCCCCAACTGTGGACCTGTGAGCAGAGAGGACGAGACCCAAAGGAGGAGGTGATTACTGGAGGAGACCAGGCGTAAAGCAACCCCCCCTCCACCCTGACATACACACACACTTAGGTCGGGTATAAATCCCAATCTTACACTTATGCAGGTCCACTCTGCCATCCCAGTGTGTAGCATGCTTCCACAATACAGCGCAAACGAGGAGAGCAGGTGCAAACCTTTATGTGTGTGTGTGTGTGTGTGTGTGTGTGTGTGTGTGTGTGTGTATGTGTGTGTGCGGACAGTATTAAAAGGCTTTGGTTATACTGTACCATGCACACACCATCACATAGTGGTGATGATTGGGCTCCTGTCATGCTCTGTAAGTTTGTTGTAGGTGAGGATCTCCTGTCAATCATAGTGGGATGGAGGCCAGCCAAGGGTAGAGAGGAGAGAGGTTATAGAGGGAAAGAGAGATAAGAGAGGGCAGGAGAGGCGAGAGGGAGGGTTGGGGAAGGGGAGAGGGGGCCGTTTGCGGTCGGCTTACCTGAAGTCATCAATCTGCACCAGAAATCGAACAATGTCAAAATGTCCTTTCAGCACCTGCAGCTCAGTGAAGCAGTTTTTGGGCTGTTCCTCTCCAATGCACAGCACAGGGCTTTTCTGCAGACACAAGAGGGAAAGCAGTGAGACAAACAGGCCGCGGTGCTGTACACCCAGCCCTGAGGCTGAGAGTAGATAGGGAAGACAAGAGTAAGGGAAGAAAGAAGTGGAAAGCAAACTTGTACTTCTAAGCAAATACATTTTTAAGGGATACAAATTGGCATTTATATTTTTATTCACTTTTGTTTTTGTTACTTTACCCATCTTACAAAAAAAGAATAGCCATCGCTGCATTCTGATTTTATATCAAAAACATGACAAATATACCAGCTGTTCAATTGTTACTTTTTCTGTAGAGTGAGTTGTTTTGCTTCTCATACTTAAATCCCAACTGGCAATATGTTGGAGTTTTTTGTCATATGTACAATAAGATGGGTGGAGGGTTTCATTACTTCCCTGATATTGTTACTACTCATGAACGTGCTTAACATTTAGTGCCTGTTACAGGTTTCTTATGGAAGCACTTTGCATTGTTATCCTGAAATACCTTTTTGACACAGCTGATAAGGCCTATGTTTTATAGGCTAAACTGTTTTGGAATAGCTAGCGATATACATATTATATAGGTAATTCATGTTCTACTTCATAATGTAAGTGGGCTTCTCAGCAACCATCATACATTTCAGTCTATGTCCTGTCCACAAAGTATAAGCATGGTCTGACACCACCATGTTAAAATACTACATCTCTGATATTGGCCTTACTTTGAGAATAAAGCCAGCATAAAATATTTTGAGCATTGAGTTTAGTAACAAGGAAATTATCTGTCTTTTATCAAACTGAAAATAACAAAAAAACACTTTTATCACTTTATTATTATTATTATTAACTGCTTTTTTAACGGATTGTTAAAGTAAATACAGAATAAATCATTGACATGGCAGCAGTTCAGTGCATTCATTAGCAGGTGGACTTGGTAAAAACAACCTGCTGAAGTTCGAACTCAGCATGCGAAGGATGAAGAAAAGTGATTTAAGTGAGTGAACGTGGAGTGCCGGACATGCTGGTCTGACTATTTCAGAAACTGCTGATCTACTGGGATTTTCCTGCACAGCCATCTTTAGGGTTTACAGAGAAATGTCCAATGAGAAAATTTCTAGTGAACAGCAGTGAAAAAGTCAGAGATCAAAGGAGAACAGCCAGACTGCTTTGACCTAAAATGGGGATAAAAGCAAATCCAACAACCATTTATTACAGCCAAGGCGTGTAGAAGAGCACCTCTGAAGACACAACACACCAAACCTTGAAGCAGATATGAAATGTTGCCCAGTCTGATAAGTCTCCATTTCTGCTTTAAAATTTGGATCGTAAAGTCAGAATTTGGGAGTTAAAAAACAAAACAAAACTTGAAAGCATGGAATAGTTCTGTCTGGTGGTGATAAAATGGTCTGGGGATAGTCAAAAGAGCCTGGATGACCTGGATGACTGTGAACCTTCACAGAGATGCGGTGTCGGGGATAGTTTTTTGGCACACTTTGGGTTCCTCAGTATCAAGTGATCAACAGTTAAACATCAAATCCTATCAGAGTATTGTTGCTGACCATGTCCATCTTTTCATGGCCCCAGTGAACACATCTTCCGATGATTGCTTCCATCAGAACACAACATGTTACAAAGCTCAGATCACATTAAGATGGTCTCTTTTACATGACAATGAGCTCCTGTGCTCATATGGTCTCCAGTCACCAAATCCCAGTCTACCATGGGATTGGGATGTGAAGGAATGGAAGATGGCAGCAACTGTGTGTGACCACTACAAAGGTAAAAGGGTGTCCAACCCAGTACTAGCAATGTGTAACTAGCAAAGTGACCGGTGAGTGTTTACGCCTGTATTTAGTGGATATTTATATCACATACTGAGACAGGCTTCCTGAACATGGAGGTACAATCTGCTTTGGAATACATGAGTCTTTGGAGGAGTTTGGAGGAGAGGAGCGTTTATGGGACAAATTACAGCATATTTCCATAAGTTACACAGGTAGACTCATAAAATCATCACATACATTTCCAAACAAGGTATGCTGCAAACACGAGCTCCCAGGCTCAGCTTACCTCCGCTGAGCTCTGAGCTTCCCGACCACCGAGAATCCACCGGAGCATGACGTCAGCCGGTCAAACACAGTAAAGCCAGTTTTTACAAACGCTTCTCTGAACACGAACCCAAAACTCAAAGCACAACAAAGCAGCTAGCTAACGTTACAAGCTTCTCTATCTGAAAAGTCCCCAGCGTCACACAGAAACAGCCTCTCGCCGTTTTCACTGTGAGGAAGCTTCGGCGGGTAACGCTTCGGTTTGTTGGACAGATAATTTAATTTCGCCAGAACTGAGAGAGTCACGTTAATACTGCAGTTTTCAGCTACATGTTTCAAAAGGTTTTCAGTCACGACCACAACAAACCATTCATGTGACTCGCACTACGGAAGCTTTGCATGGACACGATTCACTGAAGTCGAATGATAATTGGGAAGTAAATATATTTAGACCGCTGCGCATTTTAATGATTTCATGGACTTTTGCGACACTTGGAAAACTGAACCCAGCATCCACTCAGGCAGTGTTTGTATTCGTTTGTGTGTTTTGCTTAAAATAATCTGCCCATGCCTATTTAAAACTAATAAATCTGCACTCCGAAATTGCTTTACTTTTCAGCATAATGTTACATTAAAGCTTGAAATGTATTATTAATAATAATAAAAATACTGAATTAACAATTGGGCGATATAAATAAATAACGACATAAATGCAATTAATGATAAAATAATAAGCTACACACGTTGAAAGCATAGATCTTGATAGAAATAGCAGTGGACCTGTAGAAACCAAAAACAACTTAATCCGGAGGGGTTGTTTTGTTGTTGTTTTTGTTTTGTTTTTTACTTTGAGATTCTCATTTATGAATTTCCGTCTCGAACAGGGACTGGCAGAAATCTGGTCTTGAGCAAGGTCAGTCTTTGGAACAACCTCAATGAATCCTGTTACAAAAGTAACACATGTTGAATTTCAGTCAAAAGTGAAATCACTTTTTTATGTTGGTCACACCAAACCTGGGTCTCAGTGCACTTTTAAGCTCAGTAGCGATATAAGCAGATTTAGTTAAATATAACCAATAAAACCCAGGTTGCCTTTTTGGTACATAGGCGAGTCAGATGCAAGGCCTGCAAATCCACAGCAAAAATTACTTGCTGTTGAGAAAATGAGGGAAACAGTCTAATCTGGGAAAGCTGGATGTATTTTTTTTAAATATTTTAAACAGTTATTACTCAAAAATGAAGCTTTTTATGCTCCACTTTAAGAAATATTCTGCAGATATACATGAAAACAGCCTAGTACTATCAAATTATTTACATTCATCAGTCTGCACAATGAAGCTCAAACATTCAAGATTGCTAAAACACATTTTGGAATCAGGTCAGATCTTTAAATGAGCGTCATTCCTCTTCGTACAACTAGATGGCAGTGTGTAACAATAACACAAGATCAGAAGAAGTCTCAAAACTCTACTAGTGAGGAAAATCCTTTTTTTTTTTATCAGTTTCCTTTTGTATAAAAAAATTATGATGTAATTCTTTTTTTATATATACAGATGGGTCAGTTCAGCATTTTCTGCCCACAGTTTCCTCTCTTCCTCTTGTTTATTTTTTTTTCCTTCATCGACTTCTGCAATAATGCTGACCTTCTCTTCAACCAAACCTTCTTCCTCAGCTTTACAATCTCTTTCTTTGAGTGTATTCCCTGTTAACACACACATACACACACACACGCGCACCCCTAGCTGAGTCTGCTCCTGCTCCCCCAATTGAGACGACACGCAGTGTAGGGCCTGTGACCTTCATGGTGGCTCAGATCTGTGGCTGGCACTGATTTCTGATTTAGTGTCGATCCGCTGCGCTTGTCAGGGGCTGCGAGGTGCTTTCCATGCGGTAATAGAAAAGCTCAAGGGCAGCTAGAGAAAGGAGGAGGGTTAGGGCAAGGGATCGGTTGAGGTGGAGTGAATGGGTTTTAGATGTGAGAATGTTTGTTTTACTACAGTATCTGTTAGATATTTGAATGGATGGGTCAAAAATTTAGATTGCAGAGCACTGTTTTGAATCAATATATAATTATTAGAAAAGTTGTGACTCGTGATCCTGTTACTGAGAGTCTACTGTTACTGAATAAATTGTGCTAGATGAAAAGTCAGAGAATGAGAAAAATCAGAAGAACATGTGGCCATGATGGTAGCACTTGTTAGTGTTTCAGGATTGAATGAATTGGATCAAGTGGCAGATATTATTATGTAAACAATGTAGACAATCCAAGATTTTTGAAAAATACAGGAAATAAGGTTGATAGAGAGAACAGAAGTTAAAGAACAGATTCAGGTGCGCAGTGGGAAGAAATGTGGAAAAGAGGGTTTGTTGAGTGCAGTAGCCGAGGAGGACGAGGTGTCAAATATGACCAATGGTAGAAATCATCTAAGATGTGAAAGCCCTGATGTGATTGTCACTGAAGCACTAAAGACCAACAGATTCAGGGTGAGAAAGAAAAGAAGTCTGTGTGCTCCCTCTTTCTCCACCATAGTGCCTGATTTCACCCCCTATCTCCAGCCTGTAAGGAAAACAAATGGTTATGATGATGGAAAAGAAATTAAGTAGTAATTTAACAAAGGGCCAACAACAGTATTCAATAACACACTCCCTCCCTTGCTGTTCAGAGGGGTCTTGTAGAGAGATAGGCTCATTCCTGACCAACACACTTCACTGTCCCTCTTCATCAGGCGTTCACTGTGTTCTGCTTTATCTACTGAGGGCCTGCTCCACTTAGACCTGAACACACAGGGCAGCACCTTTATAAGTTCGCAGCTAATGATAATAATAATAATATTCTTTTATTTGTAGGGCAAAACATAATTACAGAGTTCTTTGCAGAGCCAAATAGAAAATCACACGTAAAATTGAAAAAATAAATAAATCAATAAATCAATAAATAAAATGTAACATAAACCTATTTTGTAAATTTCTTTATAAAGCTACTTTAATTAATATATTCTGCTTCTCTGAATTGTTTGGGGACACTCAGCTTTATGTACATTCATTGCATAAAAATCTTTGAAATTGTTTATTTGTTTCGTCTTTTCTTTTTGGGGATGCTGAGGATGCTCCATTTTAATGTGATAGTAGTCACTTGTCCGAAAGAAAGGTAACCAAGGTAACATTTAGCATTATTTCACTCTAAATGGGAGTATAATGACCTAAATACCACCAAAAATAAATAAATGACTGAGACTGTAAACTCATCGAAAGATTTTTACTACCATCATAAATTAAGAAAGAAGAGTATGGTGAAAGGTTTGGTAATTTTCTTACAGACCTATGTACAGAGTTCCCTTTGAAACCAGAAGATTCACCCTTTACTGGCTATTAGAAGATAAGCATGTTTAAGGCACTTCCCATTTTGATTTACTTTACAGACCTTTGAGTCTACTTCCTTCTTATATGCAACAGACACACTTGGTAAAGTCGTGGATGGAGATCAGAGCATTGTCAAATATTTTGCCACAATGTGCAGTGAACATGCAATTTTGTTGCCTTTGAAATGGTTGTTTTGAAGTCAGGCGTCAGGTAGCCAACCATTGCAGTCAGTTGCTAGTTTCAGGCTGACTTTGGTGACGGTGATATAACACTATAGCAATTTGGAGACAGGTTGTGCAATTGTCTTGTGATCAAAAATGGTCACCCAGTCGTTGATGTTGATGCATACCTCTGAATGCTCAATTGGTCTTTGGAATTATTTTGGAATTATTATGAATTTTACTTCAGGATGATCCCAGAGTACCCTTCCTTTCTTGTAGATGCAGTGGATCTGCAAGTAGCAATTTAGGCCTTTGTGTAAGATGTGTTCAGGCTCATAGCAAGAAAGTTAGCAAAATAGCTCTAGCTAACAAGTTTAGGTTTATTAAATAAGCTAATCACAGTCAAACCTTAGAAACACATAATTATTTGTAACTGTTAACATTTCTCCATATTACAAGTAACCTTTGGAGCTGTTTGAGACGTCTGTGTCTATTTGTGTTGCTGCTGTCATGATTAAAAACCCACAGAAGTGACTGTCAGCAGCATCTTGAGCTTTCTCTTGACATCAAAATTGTCTTTTCTTCGTTATCCTGTGCTGATCCTTTAAATTCGTAGGTTCCTCCTGCGCCTAATTTAAACAGAAACAGGATGTGCACTTGACTTTAATCTACATTGCAGGTAATGGTGGTCTGGGGCTGACCAGGACGGAGGAATGCATTTAAGCATCTGTCATTGTGATTTGTCACATGAGCATGACTCTAATTGCTGTGTTTCAGTCATCATGGGTTAATTATCAGCCTTGACCTGCAGTATTACATACGTACAGATTACACATGAGGGTGGAAAGATTATTTTTACACAGCACCAAAACTTGGGAGATATTACACCAATACAATATAAAGCTGCCAGTTCTCCTTTATTCTGTATTATCTTCCTCTCTGCCTAACTGATCATCACTGTCTCAGTCTCTCGTCCCTCCTCCTCCCCCCTCCCTCATTTGGTGACCCTCTAATGTTCTGTTCATTTTCTCTTATGAATAGATAATGGACAAAAATCAAATCTCTTCATTTGCATGTAATACAATTAAGACCTTTTCAAACAAAGACAAATGGAGGGAGCAGCGAGATGTCAGTCAGCCTCGTCAGCGAGTGAGCAAAGACAGCATCAGCGAACCTCCCCATTTTAACGAAAATTAATAAAACCTTCAAATGGAATTTTCTTGCCACCATCTGGAATAACGATCACCGAGACACTACGAGACTCTGCCTGTCAAATAACATTAAAGCTCCCATGAATTTGGATTCATAGCATGGATCTGAAGCCACCAATGTATCCGTAGCCCTTAAAACTAAGAGGATAAGATTTTTGGGACGTGTGGCCTGAACTGACTTCAGACATAAATTTCTTTTTTCTCTGTAGCTTGTTTTATGAGATATATTGCATTATAATTTTAATATAATTTTTACACTGCTATTTAAGTATTGGTCAATTGGTTTTAATGGTAGATAGTGTCAGCTTGATATCTATATTAGACTATAACTAAGCAATGTAAACTTCAAAGAGCACTTATTATGCTCATGTTAAATAAAGTCTGATTTGATATGATCGCATTGATAGATACATTCATATTTGGGTGAAAGGCTGGAGCCTTTCATAATTCTATTAAAAATGCCCCCAAAAGACACCAGCACTGCAAGCATGGTGAACAGGTCAACCTCAGTGGATGCAATTAGTCGAGGAGAGATCAATACAAGGGAGAAGAAGAGAGTCAGTGTCGCTCAGTCACAATATAGTAAAAACTGCTTGTTTCTGGATGATTTCATCAATCACCTGGCGCAAAGTAACCAGTCTACAGACAGCA